TAGGAGGATAGAGGTTTAATCCAACTCCAAGACCTTGGCCTCTTTCTTGCATTGAGTTCAGATCAAGCCAGGAGCATACTCTGAGGTTGCACCACCATCTCTGTGGCTTCTCAAGAGTTTTGTTGAAGGCTTTAGTCTTTGATAATTGTGGTATTTGGCTATTAATCTGGTGAGCTGGTAAAACTGTGTATTTAAAATGAAACTCCAGAAACGAAACTGAGAGCACATACCCTCACTCTCTGTGGCAGATCCAGGTCAGTTTGCCTGCCCTAAGCAGGCAGCTCCTGTCTTCTCATCCCCGACACCTAAGCCAGATTGAGCAAGATGATGTGGCTAAACCCTTCTGATGTCTCCTTTTTTTCAGTAGGTTGTTGTCTGTGCCCTGGGAGAGGGCCTGGGAGAGACCCTTCAAGTGGCTGCAGGAGAGCCCTCCAGCGTGGGTGGGATGGGGCAGTAAGTGCTGCCCTTAGCCAAGGGGCATCTGGATGGATTTGTGTGGCTGCCCACGGCGACGGCTCTGCAGTGACTTAGAGCGAGTGTTTGAGCAGGAGCTTTCCAAGGGAAAGATTGTGAAGGCTGGTAGAACTTCCCTAAACATTTGGCTCCCACGCCATAGCAAATATTGTACCCTTGCTGGGTTCAATAACATGGTGTATTTTTTCACAGGATGGATGTCTTACCTCTGCCGGGAGCTTGCTGAGGGCTTTACGGGCTGCTTCATTCAGGAAGCTGGGAAACATATGGTCTTGGGCTAGATCTTTGTGAATTGAAAATGAAAATTTTGGGTCCTAAGGTGCTGGCAGTTTGGGCGCAGCACCGAGGGGCTGAGCCTCCCCTGACCGGGGGGCAGACACCCGGGTTGTGTGGCATGTGAAATCCCCCCGGCACCGCTGGGGGCTGTGGCCAGAGCTCGGGGGCTGGTGGCCGGCGGGGAGGGGGCAACGCGGGTCTTCTCTGAGGGCTGGCTGCCCTCTGGTGCCGGCAGGGGAAAGTGCCGAGTGGCTTTGTTGTCCCAGGGAGGGTTTGTGTCCGTGTCCCCGAAGTGCAGGTGGCTGCAGCCGATCTCTCTGTGCGTCTCAGGGTAGGCGGGTTTGGGGTTTTTCCTACGCTAGATGGAAGACTTTCAGCCAATAATGTTTTTGCATTTTAAAATTAATTTTATTTAAAATAGGGGACATTTCCGATGGAATTGTGGATACATGGGGTTTTTTTTGTGGTTTGTCAACATCTGGTTTCTGCTGAGGCAAGACTGAAGGCAGTCACTGAATGGTGGTTCAGACTCTCCCCATATTCTGCTTAGCAGCTCTGCCCAGGCTATTTGGTAGTAATCCCCTCTTCTAAGAAGCAGAAAATTATTACACCCCACATTTTGTTCTGTAGTGTAACATTCTTTCCTTCTTCCAAAAAAAGAACTCAAATACATTTCATGGGATAAACATCCCGTGTCTTTACTGGCAGCGCAGGGCAAACACAGTAAGAAAACCAGATAAATAGACAGCTCCAAGTTAGAGCAGAGACACATGAGACACCAGAGGTCTAGTGAAGGCCATGTTACGAGCATCTTCAGTATTCTGCATGGAAAGGGTACTCCTTGTGAGTTTTGGACCTGAAAAAAATCAAAGAGGGAATGTTATCTTCATGGGTGAAGTAAATGTTACATAGAGGTGTACTGGGTGTGTGGAGGAGCCACCAAGGGAAAATCTGCACCACATAATTACAGGAAGAACATGTGGAGATATGTGTCCTCATTTCTCTAATACAGACAAAGATTAAATGAACATCTAGAACCCATTTTTTATAATTCAAGTTAGAGTGTTTCCTCGAAACTGAATTCAAAATTAGAACGTAGTTTGTTTACATTGTTTTGTTTTGTTTTTTAAATGAGAATATTAAACCCTCTCCTGAAGAAGTATTTTTGGGACAAACCAGTTGGAATTTGAGTTGGCATGTTTTTAATTAAACTGAATTTCATGCTACCTAGTAGCTGTGACACACAATTCCTTGTAAAGAATATTCAAAATTTAAGAGTTGGAAGGCAACAAGCAGTGTCACTTACATGCTCATTGCACAGATCCTCCAGTTTCTGTTAAAGCTGAGAATGGTTGCCATCTCCTCTTTAGTCAATTCAAAGTCAAACACCTAACAAGAGAAACAGCTGGAAATCGCTTCTTTGAAAAATCAAACAGTGTGAAGAAAGACAAGACTAGAAAGCAGCTCCACACCGGAGGGTCCATTTTCAGTTGTGGACCACTGAATTAGCAGTCAGAGGAACAACTTGTTTTATGGACACAAGAACTGTTTTATGAACATTGCTTATTCTATGTAAGACTTTCCTGGCATGTTACTGTGTGTGGGCTCTAAGCAAGCTGTGCCTGCTGACTCATCCACAAGCCACGGAACAGGAAACGTCATATAAGACCTGTTCATCTGTCCTCTCCAAAGGTAGGCCTGACTTAACCCTCAGTAGAGCGTAGGTAAGCATAAAGAAAGAAAAAGCCCAGTCCTCTTGCCTGAGGAGGACTTGGGAAGGGTGAAAAAGGGTTGCTGCTTGCTCTGCAGGGGGAAGGCATGCCATCTCTGAACGGCAGCACTCAGCTCGCTCATAATCACTCACCTTGAAGTTCTCCACAATGCGCTGCGGTGTGACAGACTTGGGAATCGCAATCACATTTCTCTGGATCTGGAAGCGAAGGAGAACCTGCAGGAACAGACCACTGAGTCAGAGAGAGGACGGCTCCTGCTCTGAAGGAAGCAGCGCCTGTTCCAGCAGCTGTTTTCCCTAAGCTACACCGCCTCTGCAGAGCTGCATTTCAAATCATTCCCGTTGCTGTGGCCTAGGTAGCGCTTCCTGGAGAGCAAAGAGCCCACATGGAAGGCCTCCTTTCCCATCCAGCTTTGGGACAGTCAATTCCTTTTCTTCCCACCTGGACTCTCAGCAGTCTATGCAAGGCTTTCATTCTCTGCAAGAGGCCTTGAGAGGGGAAATGACATCTGAAGATGGGTCAAGAATCTTTTTCTGGCTGAGGGCAAAGAGATAGTAGCATATATTGCAGGCCATATAATAAACAATCTACATCATTGTTAGGGAAGAATCAGAGGAGTGCCACAATTCATAGGGAATGGATGCAGGTTCTACCTGCTCCTCACATCTGTTTTCCTTAATGGCTGCGTTACTGGAAGGAGTACCCACTACTGTCCAGCACCTATGCACCTGTGCTGGGGTTTTGTTGTGCTTGGCTGCAATCTCTTTGATCTTGGGGTCATCCAGAAGGGAAGGATCCTCTGGCTTAGCCCTACACAGACAAAAGTTAAGATCAGTGGTGAGGAGCCTCCACAGAGAGATCCAACCTAGCAACGGAGGTACGTATCTTGATGAATGATTAATGGTCCTCTTGTAGTCTCAATGTTTCAAGCATAATCCGTGCCAGCTCTCTTGCAAAGCAATCTTACCATGGCCTGTCAGGAGAGCCAAGAGGACAGTACGCTGTCACAGCAATCCCTTTGGATTGACAGTACTTGATCAGCTTCTCCTGGGTAAGGTATGGATGACAGTCGATCTGCCAACACAAAGGCACAGAGGCTGATAGTGGCAGAACCGTTGTAATACTTCTGTGCTCCATGGATTATCTCCTAATCCAATGACAGGCTGCCTTTTGCCCTAATTTGCCAGTGGCCTACGTCATAATATGCATCCTTAGTATTGAAGACACCGATTTTTATACAAAGTGCTTATACATTTTTCTTCTGCAGCGGTTTCATAAAGCTCATCTCTGGGTTCTTTATTCTTCCAGAAAGAATGTTTCACAGGGAAATATTCCAACTTTTGTAAACAGCGTTTCAACAAGGTGAGACAAAAAAGGAAGTATCCCAGTGCCTTGTGTACCCAGAAATATTCAGAATGGGATTTAAGAGTACAGGCTGTATTCTACTTTGTTCTCCCTTTTTTCATATCCTCATTCAGCTGCAGTGAGATCTTTATAATACCTAGAAACTATTCACCTGCAGTCACTCTGCAGCTTACCTGGTTATTTGTGGGCTTGTACCTTAGTCTTGGTTTGTTTAGGATTCTTTCAATCTGCTCGTGGTTAAAGTTGGAGATTCCAATTGCTTTTACCAGACCAGCATCCACCAGCTCTTCCATGGCCTAACACAGAGGAGCAAAATCATCATCCAGTATGGAAGACAGGTCATGAAGATGTTCTTCCTGATGTGGTTTGTTTCGCCGTCACGAGCAGCACAAAATAACTATTTAGAGTTACAAAGTTCTCTGAGGGAAAAGCAGGTGCTGGTATGTTAATGCCATCTCATCCAAGCCCAAATGCTCGTTCCCTGAGTTTGTGGAAATTCACACCAAGTTGCATAAGGAAAAGAACGACGACACTCAGTAACCCACTATTATGCAAGCACTGGAAGGCAGTGCCACATGCTGCAGGCCAGCTCTCAACCTAAAATGTCTTTATTTCTGTAAAATGGATTTGCGCAATTCAAGAAGGGCAGAAGAACTGTGGTGAAGACAATTGTACAGTGTTACGGTCAAGCAAAGAACTTTTTCAAACCTCAGTCTGGTCTGCAGCTCCACTGAAAGTGATTGTGCAGCTGACTGTGGGTCAGGCGCTCAAATAAGGCACTCAGGAAATAGGAGTAACTAGGTAATGACTAAGCATGCATGTTATGAAAAGCTACTGTGTACTGCCTTATGTTCCTTCCAACTAATTTTGCACACATGAGACAACAGTTCTGTGACTGCTGAAAGTAATGAAAACATGGAAGAGACTGATGAGGACAGAGGACATGACTCTTTTGCTATGGCTGAACTTACCTCCCACGTCTGTAGAATATCAGTGTTGCTAGGTATAGACATGCCTTTGTCATCTTTGGGAAACAGCTCGTCTCCTGCCTGTCAATGAGAGAGAGAATGCTTGAAATAATCTCTGTTGGGACACTAGCTATGTAAAAGAACCAAACAGGAATGTAAGGAGCTAAAGCTAATAGTGCATGAAAAAAAACTCAAGCAATTTTCATTGTAACTTTATTAATTCTGCAGTAATTTCTTATTCTTAGTTCATGCAGGGTCATGCCATTTTTGCCAGCTACTGTCCCCATAAAGACAGGTATTTCTGCTGGACCCATTGAAGTGATGATCCACAAAATGCATGCAGGGAAGTGATTTACTTGTAGAACAATATCCTGGAGTCTTATATGAGTTCACTTCAAGTATGGTTCCGTTATGCACGTTTATGAATAATAGCTTCTTTAGTTGTTTCTAAAAAGGTGTATGGAGGGTTTACTTTGGTCCCGTGAATGTACACATTTATACTGGAGTACATCTGCTGAAAAAGGTACTGCTGACAGATTTCCCATGGGGAGGCTCACTGTTTAAGTTGCTCTGTTAGGAAAATTAGAACAGCCTGTAACTAGACAGTATGGCCAACGTGTTTGAATGATTGGAATTTTCTAAATGCCGCAATATTATGCAGTTTCATTTGACAACTTTGTCCACATAAAGCTAACTAAAACAATATTGAGAGAGAGAAATGAAGTTGAGGAACTCAAAAGCATGAGGTAGAATGCAGATTTTGATCTGGGTGTAGCAGAAAGGAAAGGCTAAGAGTATATGTGTGTATATATATATATAAACTGACATAAATCCTTTGAAGTACATGTAGTCTGCGAAAGTTTGGTATCGAAAAGCCTCATCTTCTGAAATCCAAGGTCTGTGAAACAACACTAAGGCCCCTACAGGCAAGGTCAGCTCAGTCTGGCCCATATTAAGTACTTGGTGATTAAAGAGAGAAATAGAAACCAGAAGCATTTGCTTTTGCCCTGTGATTCTGTAACATGCAGACGAAAGAATTTCTATCAGGCAGCAAAGTGCAGTCCTTCTTCCTGCAAGGGGTAATTTTCAGATGAGCACGCTTTGGATTTGTAAAAGAAAGGGAAAGTGGCATAGATTATGCTTGCGGCTGGGAGGCCTGATCTTAGCGCTAGGTCTGCCTCACTGGTATCCAAAGGGCAGAGGACGCTGTGCAAGCAGCAGTCTCAGGGGCAGAGATCAAGAGCCTGGCTCACGTGGCCAAAGTAAAGCTGAATGAGCAGCACCGGAGCAGTGCTGGTACACACAACAGGCACATGGTCTTTCTGGGCTGGAGCAGCGGTAGTGCTGCAAGCGTTACTGGCAGTTCTGAGGAGCTCTCCCAGGCGGGAACGCCAAGGGCATTGCTGTTACTGTAACTTGAACCCAAGAGGCCAGTGCATGAGGTAGAGATCCAGGTAATCCAATTTCAGGGCAGCAAGAGTCTTCTGGCAGGCTCCCTTCACCAGAGGTTTGTCATGAAACGTACACCATAGCTAGAGACACAAAAAGCCGGCACACCGTGACCTCCTGGGTTAAAGCTCTTGTAATCCTTCTGTCCTGTTCTTGAGAGGAGAGTACCTGTCTGCTTTGGAAGGCGATGTGGAATGAGGCCATCCTAGCGCCCTTCTGATGGGGCTTGCTCTGTGAGCAGGACTGGTCCCTGACACTGAGTGCGGTATGTGCTGTGGCAGTACACATGATCAGACAGATCTGTAGTAAAAACTCCTATTGCGAGGTCAGACTTGTGTAAAAGAGGATGGCTTAGCTCAAGAAAGCTTTCTGTCAGATTTGACCATTTGTACATTTCCTGTAAAAAATTTAGCAGGCAAAGCCAAGAAAATACAAAAAAGCCACCAAGAAGTGGTTGGCACCAACCTTTACCAAGGTAAGAAGTAGCTTCAGAATCCAGCTAAATGTCCTGTTTTCCTTAGTAAGCAAGACAAAGAGAAGCCACCAACCACACCTTCCCTGGGACATGTGCTGAGCAGATTACACTGTCCCAAGGTGCCCAGAGCCTCATCTTCCTCACGCAGCAGAGACACCCCTTTGGCAGGGCTGCGAGCCCAGCGGCTGGAACGAGCGTCAGCCACTGCAGGTCTCATCTCCTCTGCTGCGCTTTAGCAGTCAGTGAGGTGCTGTTACCAAGTTGGTTCTGCCTCTGTATCAGCCCCTGACACCAAGTGATCTCAGACCTCGGCATCATGGTTTCTACCTCGCTTGGTGCTACCTGGCCCACTCTGCCTTCTCCTGCTTCCCTTCTCCCACACCAGTGCTCGGCAGGTGGCCTTTCCTCATCCATCCCTCAGCACTTCTAGGTCTCCTCACCAGAGTGCCAGACCACAGCAGGGTGCAATCACGGCGTATCCTTCCTAACTCTCCATACAGAATGTGATGAAGCAGTAAGCTTGTATCAGGAGTTACTTGAATGATGTTATGAATTGCTTTATCCTACAGCATAAAGTTTGTCTCCAGTACTTAAGCAAGCTTCCTACTATGAAAATACTATAGGCAAAGCATTCCCTCACCCCTGCTCCAAGGTGGAAGATCATCAGATCCATACCTTACTGACGATGAAGAGGTCCTCTCGTTTCACAACGCCTTCCTTGATTTTCTGCTGGATCCCCTCCCCAACTTCATTCTCATTCTGGTACACGTAGGCACAGTCAAAGTGGCGGTACCCAGCATCGCTGGCAGCGATCACTGCAGCTGTTACTTGCCCAGCTGGGGACTAAAAATAAGGCATAAATCTAAGAATCTCAAATCAGTACATGTTAAATACCTGTATCCTAGCAAAATAAAAATAGGAGAACCACCTTACTGAATTCAATCTCCCCCTCCCCCAGGTTGTGGGTTTTTTTCTTTACAAGAACAGTATTTCTTGCAGTCATAAACATGGGCTCCAGGGCTTGAAGCCAGTCTCTAGCCATTTCCCCATAGCCCCACTCCCACGCAGGCTCAGCCCAACAGCCAGGTACAGCAGAGCCCCCAAACCCAGGACAGCTCTACAGAGCTGAACCAGGGGGAACCGAGTTTTGTGCAAGGGAGCTCTGCACTGCCAGTGCTTTTCTCTGAAGCCGTTACCTTCCAGGTGCCCAGCCCCACGAGGGGCATCTTCACCCTGGTGCTCAGCTGCGTGTAGGTCGCCTTGGCCCTCCATGCCGTCTGGGCAGCCCCACTGCAGCTGCCTTTTGCCCAGCCGGTTTAATAGTGACTGGTCGCTGGCCAGGGCAGGGAAAGATGGTGGAGCAGTGCCCGTGCTCTGGGCCCTCCCATATCCAGCAAACAAGGCTGTGGCTTTTTCTCTGTAGACTCACACAGGTTAATGTGAAAGCTGAAATCAATTATAAATCGCGGAGTTGATCACTCCCCTGGGGCGTGCAGTGGTGCACCCTGGGGACCTTTCTTCCTGGTGAAGTTCCTGTCAAAAGATAAGGGCTGAGGGCCGCTGTGCCCCGATCCGGCTTGTGTATGTGCAGGGTTCAGCTCCTGCAGCACCCTGTCCCCGAGCCATGGGTTGTTCATGCATATCTTGCTTGTGATAACGCGCTGGGGCGTTGCAACACGCTGTTGCAGTTCACCCCATCAGGTTACCCGATGCAGAGCCTGTTTCATTCAGTGGCACTTTGGCCCACGATTTGTCATCGGTAAAGCCAGGGGGGAGCCCCGAAATGAAGCAATAAACAGGAGTCCCGGGGTAGGGCATGAGACAGAGGTCTCTCAGCTCAGGGAGCTGCTCCCTTGCTGCTGGCCATGTGGTGGTTGGCTGTGAGCCATGGGCCAAGGAAGAGCTGAGCCCTTTTGGCTGGAGCAGCGTGTCCTCATGACAGTGATGGTGGCCTGGGCTGGTCTCCCCTTGGCAGAGCCTTGTGACCCTGTGTGCTGATGAAGTGAAACGGCTAGAGAAACCTCGGCGTGAGTATTTATGCTTCACAGGCTGGGAAGTGAGGGACAGGGGAGAACAGGGAAGTTCACACAGGAGACGTGTGGCAAAGTTGAGAAGTAAAATTAAGTCCCCATTTTCTCTCGATCTTAACAGGACCATCCCTCTGGTAAAACTCCAGAGTTGCCTGTTTTTTCTTTTCACTTTTACATCTCCTTGTAGTACTAGTACAGACAACAGGCATACCTCCGTGGCTTGTTTGTTAGCGGCCAGGGCATTCATAAAGGAGAGATTCATAATGCAGAGAGAGAAGAGAAAAGGTGTCCTGTAGCTACGTGGTCATCGCGGATGCCATATATAATTAGTGTCATAAACTAATACATCCTTTTGAACAAGAATAGAATGGGATCCAGCTAATGGATGGGAGGCTGTATTTTAACGTTTGCACACACGGGGGCAGAGTTCAACTTGCGTGTGACTGCTGCTTTTGCATTTCTTCAATAATCTCTCAGCAGATTGAATTGCATATTGCATTCCTTAGATTTTGTAATAACGAGAAGGTGGAAATCTCTCTTCCTCTGTTTCTTTTCCTAAAAAGGCTAAGAAGAAAAAAAATGAAGGTGGCTTACATTTGTAATAAATAAATAGGCACGAAATTTTCTGGTAGGGACCCAAAAGGTACAATCTGAGTTTTGAAGAGGAAATTAGCAATTATCACTAACATACGGACTTTCTGAATTGTCTGATCCTTAAATTAAAGGCACAAAAAAGAATTTCCTTTTCCCTGCTGTCTTTCGCACTGAACTGCATGAGACTGCTTTCCCTGCCTCAACTCACCGCTCTCTCTCAAGATGTTCCAGACTTGCACTTTTAAGCATTGTTATGCATGGGGGGAAATCACGTCTGGTTGCTCCCTCCTGTTAACCGGGCACTTACTTACGACATGTTGTATATCCCAGGGGAAACAGAAAGACTGTCTAAAATTTAGAATGGTTGGATTTACTGTGACCGGTAGCACTCTAACGCGCTCAGCACCTCCAGCGCGTTTTTGACTGCAGCAATCAATGGGGATTGTGGGCTGTCTGCAGCTCGCAGGAAGCAGTATGCGCTGTACGGAGCTGGGTTGTTAACTACACATTTGCGGCCAGAGGCTGCTTCCATTGGGAGATTTGCCATTGATTCAACAGCATCGGAGCAAGCCTTTTGTTAAAATGTCTGCCAACAGTGTTAGCTCTCTCTTTGTTCAGCCAGTCTAGTACCAAACCCTGTCTAACCTATTTTGTATATTGGCCCTGATGTCCTCAGAATGGCTGGATGTCACGATTTCAACACTGTGTACGTTTTCCAGTGCTTCCTCGCCAGAGATGCCCTCTGGTGCCGCCCTGCAACTCACGATGCAGCTGTGGTGGTGGCAGCTCGGGCACAATGGGGGAGACGAGATTCGTCAGGATCTGCATCCCAGCCTTGGCCTGAGTGTGCTGGCATCTGGGGCGAGGAACCAAGAGCAGCAAGAAGAGTAAGAACTGACCTTTTCCCAAGCACTTTCCCCACTCTGTAGTGTAAACCAGTGGGCTCAAGCTGATTGAACAGGCACTGGGATAGCTTGCCAGGCTAAGAAAGCAGAGCTGCTACAAATGGTTTATGGTCTTTTTTATACTTTTGCTCAGTCACTGTGTGTGACCCTCTGGAGAGAGATGGACTTCCCAGAAGGAGGAGTCACATTCTGACATTTTCACAGCATTGGTGAGACAAGAAGCCTGAAGTGATATATTTTCATTTTTGAGGAAACCCCAGCCAGTCTGGCTCTGAAGCTGTAGTAACTATTACTGTTACAAAGAGAGGAAATAGGGGAAAGCCTGTGGAACATCAGCTTGAAACTACCCTGAAGAGGAACCTTTTAACTCAGCAGAACTGCAGGAAGCTACAGCTTTGAGAGCTACATCAAATGGGGTGGTTTGGTGATAAAGAGAAGAGTAACTTGCCAACAAGGGGATACCTGAGGGTAAATAAGACAGGAAGAGATAGTTAATAAAACTGTCAGGCAGCGGGAAGCAGACCCCTGGAGGCAGTGGAGGAGGTGTTGACAGCAGACAAGGGCAAAACAAGGCATGTTCACAGTATTCCCAAAGTATAATATGGTTACATTTTCTTCTGAGTTTTGTCTACATGAAGATCTTGCACTGTTTCATTATGTGGATGCAAATGCCTTTTTTGGACACATGTCAGTTGAAGTATGTTGTATATTGATTTAGCTTAAATCCATTCCTCACCACTTCAGTTAAAACAGTAGAAAACACTCCAGCAAAATAACATCTATCCTCCCACAGACTTAGCATTAATTTAACAGCATCAGGTTTTGAACTGGTTTAATTAAACTGCAACTTCCTTGCACAGGCCAGGACTGGTTGCTGCAGAAGCGTGTCAGTGTCTCTTCTTGAACTTGTAAAAAGAAACCATTTGATCATAGACTGGAGAGGTGGATTAATGTGGGACTGGCAAATACTTTGCTTGATTTTCTCTAGGTCAAGCCCTGTGAAAAGAGCAGGTACCAAAGCATCAATGAAGACAGTACCTTCTCAGTTGTTTCTTTGGAAAAAGGGGCTTTGTAATGAGGAGATAAGCAACTTAAGTTAAATAGGAAGGACACCATGGCCAGCCTCCAAACCCAGCTCATCTACAAATGGAAAATTTGCCCATCCCAGACCTACATTCCTGTCCAGTTCTGTTGGTAGGCATGGTTATCACAGGAACGAGATTTTTCCTCCCTCGTATATGCAGACTGTAGGTTTTCCAAAGCTCGTCACTTTTGAGAATGGTCTGCTATTTTTCTTGCGAAGTGGAGGCTCTTGTCCTCGTGGAAAAATATTTTCATGCTCCATTTCAAGTTTCAGCAATCAGTTGTGTCGAGTTTTGACAAGAAAAGGGGTGCTTCAAATGCCTTAAGAGTGGAGGAAGGGATGGGTTTTCCATTTGTGAAACACAAAAGTGTTGAAATATTTTCCTCATGTTTGGAAAACAAAACAAAGTGAAGCACACAGGAAAACCAATGAGTTCATCTTGATTAGGAACAACATGAAAAATACCACTGTGGAATCTGCAATTAGAGATGAATAGAAATTGCTTTATAACCTGAACTCGTACACAACGGGGGAGCCAGATTGTTTTAGCTGAGTTACTCAGGTTTTGTGAATACGAGAGCAGAACCTCATGTGGTCTTTCTCCTGTCACATGGCAGGAGCCGTGGGCAATATGAACATTTAGTGGGGATGTGGAAGGTCCGGTGATTCCCACAAAAGTATGGCTTATTGTCCTTCACTAATCCATGGATCTGCACAGTTATTTCGCTGTGTGCTCCAGGTTTGCTGTAGGGTTGGTCAGATGGGCTTCTGCACTCTCAGCATCTGTCATTTCCAGAAGTAATTGAGGGCATGCAGGGAGGAGGCCATGAGCTGGACATCGTTCTGGCAGGATGCTTCCAGCTGTTTTCTTATCTGGGGACTCGTGCTTGTCCTGTAACCAGAACATGTCTGTAACCCGAGGGGCTGGGAGAAGATGGTGGCCAGGTGTGGGTTGCTGCAGGAGCCAGGAAAATTAATTTGGCCTGTGTATGCTCCCAGCTGCCCCTGTAAATTAGGTGTAACCCAGAAGACCAGATCTAGTGGCTTCTTCATGTCTAAAGTTTGTGAGCACCTATATCTTTAGAAGGGCAAGAGACCTTGGTCAGATAGCACGGTGCTCATTTTCTGCTGTCTTTCTAGAGGTATTATAACACTCCCCTCACTCCCCTCAAAAAAAAAAAAAAAAGATACATACTTGGTTACCAGATAAACACTACTTCTGCAAATGCCTTCTTAAGAAGGGCAGGATCATACTGCCCAGGTTTTGTTCTCACAGATCCATTGAATTGATCTTGGCTCAGTTAATTATTTGGTATATTGCAGATGCAGACTTCCACAGGGAAGAATAATGACGGCAATACTGAATGTTTAAACAAGCACTTGACCTATTCAAAATGCTAAATGATGGATAGTGCCTTGTGTCTCTGGGAAGCAGAAAAGTGTCTTTTTTGTAATATAAAAAGGAGATGCTGAATTACAGGAAAAATATTTTTTTCAGGCTCTTCTGTGGACAGCTAGATCTGATGGAAATAGAGAGGAATAGACTAATTTTGAATTAAAAAAAAAACAGTGGAAATCAGGCACACAATTATTTAAATGAATAGATTTCTGTG